CCCTGAGTGAGTCCTGGTGGATAATGACCCTGTTCTTAGCCTCCAACTGTTTTCCCCCACACCTCACTTCCCCAGCTTCTCCCATGATTGTATGGAGCCTGATTCCTATAAATAAATGTTGTTATTCCACAGCACACACAGTGGTTCCAATCCTTGTGGAAACATCGCCGATGCACTACCAAAGGAGCAAGTTGTGGTCAGGAGTTCAGTTTCAATGGGTGAAATTTAGACTTCCTATTCAGCATCCAGGTGAAGAGTTTGAATCTTGATGCTATGAGTAGTATGTGATCCAGGTTAGAGATGGAAATTGGCAAGCCATAACTGTACAGGCTTGCATGAGGCTAATGACAACATCAAAGTTATCAACGTATAGATTAATATTAATGTATAGGTGACCTTCAAGCCATGAGAGGAAATGAAGCATTAAGGGCTAGCAGAGAAAAGTCAGTAAAAACACTGGATAAAGAATGCTCTAATATTAAAAATAAAAAGAGCCAGATATGGTGTCTTACATTTGTAATCCCACCATTTGGAGGCCGAGGGTAGAGAATTGCCAGCCTGGGCTACACTGTGAAAGTCTGTCTCAACCCAGAAAGAAGAAAAGGAGACGGGGAGAGAAAGGTCAGATAGGCATGAAGGTGCAGGCCAATGATCCAAGCACTCTTGAGTCTGAAACAGAAGACTCAGAAACCCCAGGCCAGCCTGGGCACCCTGTCTCAAGGGGGGGGGGGGGGAACAGTACTTACGGTAGGAAGTCATCAATTAAAAACTGGCTGAATAATGAAACGGGTAGGGACTTAACAGGCCTCCACCTCTGACGATCTATGGATGGTTGATGGCTGCTGGGGGAGGGGGAACCTTTTCTTCAAGGGTGTGGCCCCTGATAGGTCAATCATGCCTCAATGAAGGGCCCCACACTCAGGTGTATATGGGCAGCTCAAATGGACTCAGCAGGTCATTTAAGAAAAAAGACATGAAGTTGGAAGGAGGAGGGGGTGATCTAGGAGCACTTAGGGGGTGACAAGGGTTATTGATATGATCAAAATACATTGTATTGCATTCTCAACAAGTTGGTAAAAATGTTATATATTTTAAAGCTGATTTAATACGTAAATTTTAAAGGCACTGAAAATTGGCACAGGATTTTTAAGAAGAACCCGTGGGAAATTTTGTTTTACGCTGAAAGGGCAAACACTGAGCAAAGAGTAAAGAAAAGTACTGAAATGAACAAACAAAACCTCAGTTGCTGGATAAACCTGGAAAAGTTGGGGATGGTTCTAGATTGGTTCCAAAGCAGATAAATCAAACATTTTGCTAGTCTACTTTTAAAACACTTTCTAAAGATTTGGTGATGTTTTTGTTTCCATCTGACCAAAGACTCCAGTAATTAAGAAAAATGGTAAGTTTTAGAATATTAGCAAGAACAATTGGAATAAAAACAAAAAAAAATAAAAAAGGAAGCACACCTATCATTTGCACTGTGCTCAGTTTGTAAAGGGTTATGTGACTGGGGCCTACTGTCTTGGTTTCCAAAGCTAGATTTGTTATATTAGAGGGGTGGTTCACAGCCACAGATGATTTTTGTCCCCCAGGAACATTTGGAAATGTCTATAAATATGTTTGGCTGTCATAAAATGCAGGAGGCTGCTACTGGCATCCATTGGGTAGAAATTAAGCATGCTTTATAAACATCACACAAAGCATAGGACAGATCCCATGGTGGGTGGAGATAAATGAAGAGTGAGAAATTATGGCCTTGGGTATGGCTACTTATCACAAGAAGCAGAGCACTTTTTTTCATTTGTGTGTGTGTGTGTGTGTGTGTGTGTGTGTCTGTGTGTGTGTGTCTGTGTGTGTGTCTGTGTGTGTGTGTATGTGCTATGACATGCATGTAGAAGAGGTCAGGGAACAACTTTGTGGAGCCAGCTCTCTCTTTCCATCTTTATATGGATTCTGAGGGTTGAACTCAGGGCATCATGAGGCTTGTGTGGCATCTTGATGGCCCCATCTTTTTTTTAACATTTTATTGATTTTTAATGGATTTCACATCATGCATCCTATCCCACTCATCTCCCTGTCCCCTCACTTCTGCCCTCTGCTTTTGCAACCCACCCCCAACAAAACAAAATTTAAAAGTAAAACTGAAAAACACCAAAAACAAGCAAAAAATCCCGTGTGGAAGCTGCACTGTGTCCCAGTGAGTCACACAGTTTACCCTTTAGTCCATATATCTTTACTTGCAAGTGTTCATTGCTGAGTCACTGGTCTGGCCTGAGGCCTCTGGCTTCTGTTACACCATCGATACTGGGTTCTCCCTGGGGCTCCTCTTGGATATCCTGTTATTATCCTGTGTCATGGAGATCCCGCATCTTTGGATCTGTGGGTCCGGCCCCTTCACATGCTCCAGCAGGTCATAGATGAGGTGGATGTTGGGGTGGGCTGTCTCATAGCCCTGGTTCTGGGCCTGGGTGGTAGCTGGGTTGGTCAGCCTGCTAGCTTTCCCTCATGGTAACTACCAAGGGAAGCTCTCCAGCACTGCCCCAGCTAGCTCACCCAACGCAGCAGGCAGCAAGGAGAGGGGCCAGTTCTCCTGTTCTTGGGCCCTCAAATCTGGGTCACCCACATTCACACCACCAGGGCCAGCTCTACTGTTCTTCCCAAGCAAGGTGCAGGGTCTGCTCTCCAGATTGCTGTAGGGCATAGGGGGTCGGCAGGATCAGCTCTCCTGCTCTCACACCCTCAGGGATGGCTCACCTGTGCATCCCCCCCCACACACACACACACAGCATTGTCGACTCTAGTATGCTCAGACAAAGATATTAATCCAACCAAATATATTTATGATGACATGTGACAATCACAATTACTACTGATATTTTTTAAAGCCTTTATCTGAACCTGGTAGCACAGAACTCAGTAGACTGTGATAAGCAAATCTCTGAGTTGGAGGTCAGCCTGATCTACATATTGAGTTCCAGGCCAGCCAGGACTGTACAGTGAGTCCCTGCCTCACAAACAAAACAAAACAAACGAACAGAAAGCATTTATTACAAATCTGTGTACCTCTGGGGTTTCACAAACCTATCTTGGATTCTTGTCATTATAGGTAATCACTGTGAATATTGGTGTCATTTGCCATATGTAAATCTAAACATTGGAGAATCTTCTAAATGGCTATCAAAAGAAGACTGAAAATTTTCAATGCAACAAAAGGACTAGAAAAGATTCTATAAATAGTCCAACAAATTCATCATCAAAAAAGAAAAGAAAAGAAAAGCTGGGGCTGGAGAGATGGCTTAGTGATTAAGAGCACTGGCTGCTCTTTCAGAGGATCTGGGTTCAATTCCCAGCACCCACACAGAAGCTCCCATCTGTTCCAGTTCCAGGGGACCTGACACCCTCACACAGACATACATGCAGACAAAACACCAATGCACATACAATTTTAAAAAAAAATTAAAAAGACAAAAAACGGTGAGAGGGGCACCAGCACATTTGACGAATTTCTAAAAAAACACCATTTCAGGGCTGGAGAGACGGCACAGTGGAAAAGAGCACTTGCTTCCCTTCTAGAGGAGTAGAGTTCGGGTCCTAGCACCATGTCAGGTGACTCACAGCTGCCTGTAACTCCAGCTCCAAAGCATCTGATCCTCCTCTGTCCTCCGAAGGCATGTGTTTGTATGTAGGAATGAACAAATAATAAAGTAAATCTGTTTTTAAAGAGAATAGGGTTGGAGTGATGGCTCAGAAGTTACGAGCTCTGCTTGCTCTTCCGGAGGACCTGGGTTCCATTACCAGCACGCACATGACCACTCACAACCCTCTGGAACTCCACTCCCACGGGGATCTGATGCTTTCTTCCGGCCTCTGAGGGTACTGCACCTGCGTGGTACAAAAACAAACACGTGGGCAAAACACCAGTACAAAAATTAATAATAAAAAGCAAAGAAAAATTAGAAACACATAGGGAAATAAAAGGTAAGTAGTTGTGAATAAGAACGTTAAATTACTGCGGGCGGTGGTGGCGCACCCCTTTAATCCCAGCACTTGGGAGGCTGAGACAGGTGGATCTCTGTGAGTTCGAGGCCAGCCTGGGCTACCAAGTGAGTTCCAGGACAGCCAGGGCTACCCAGAGAAACCCTGTCTCGAAAAACCAAAAAAAAAAAAAAAAAAAAAAGGGAAAAAAAAAAGGAAGAATGCCCTGTTATGTGTCTATATTAAAACCTGGCGCAGGCAGTACCTAGACAATAGGAAGAAGCCTTGTGATACGCCAAGCATACAGTGTCTCCACATATATAAGGGTAAGGAAAGTCACCAAAATGGACTCCATTTGGTGTGCCAAATTAGTGATGGGTACCAGGAACAGCCTAAACACTGGAGACAAGAGATTCCGAATACAAATTTTTTTTTAACAGACACAGTCTCGTTGAATGGTGTTATTGGCACATGCCTTTAGTCCCTGCACTCCAGAGGTAGATGCAGGTGGATCTCTGAGTTCGAGGCTAGCCTGAACTACAAAATGAGTTCCAGGACAGCCAGAACTACACAGAGAAACCCTGTCTAAAAAAAAAAAAAAAAAAAAAAAAAAGCAAAAACAAAAAGGAGAGAAAAAAGAAAAAACACAATCTCACTATATAGCCCCAGCTGGTTTCAACTGGCTATATAGGCCAGGCTGGACTCGAACTCCCAGAGATCTGCCTGCCTCTGCCTCCCCTAGATCAGTTTTTGAAGGACCCACCCAGACAAATAAAATGGTGCACGATGACTCTGCAGGTTGAACTCCGGTGTAAAATGGTGGATACTGAAACTACGTAACAAAAAATTTGCAGCTTGCTAAAGCTTCTGTATGCGTGTCTTTCAAGTTAGGTAGACAGCAGGAGACCGCCCCCAAAAATCTTCCCGCCTCTCCAGCGGAAGTGGGGTGTCCCCTGGAAAGGAAGTTTGAAAAGGGACCCTCCTCCTCCAGGAGGCTTTATAAGGAGCGTGAGCCTTGAGCAAGCGGCGCGCGAAGACCAGACGGAGAACGACTATGCGTACGACGACGTGCAAGAGCAAGGCAGCCCCTCAGCCCTGCACGTCCACTTCCAGCACAGGGCACACCAGGCTGACACACCAGCAGTGAGCTCCAAAGGTACGGATGCTTTTAAAAGTCGGCCGTTAGGGTGGTTTTAAAAGTCGGCCATTTGGGTGTTTGTTTTTAAAAATTGGCCGTTAGGGTGTTTTTAAAAGTCGGGCCGTTAGGGTGTTTTTAAAAGCTGGCGGTTTGGGTGTTGTTTGGGTGTTTTTAAAAAGCCGGCCGTTTGGGTGTTTTTAAAAGCCGACCGACCGTTACGGTGTTTTAAAAGCCGGGGGCCATTTGAGCCAGGCGGCGGTGGCGTGCAGCTTTAATCCCAGCACTCGGGAAGCAGAGGCAGGTGGATCTCTGTGAGTTCGAGGCCAGCCTGGGCTACAGAGCGAGATCCAGGACAGGCTCCAAAGCTACGCAGAGAAACCCTGTCTCCAAAAAAAAAAAAAAAGGAAAAAAAGAAAAGCCGGGCAGTATGGGTGCTTTTATTTATTTATTTATTTTTATGTTTTATGTTTTTTTATGGGTGCTTTTAAAAGTTGGGCGGTACCGGTGCTTTTAAAAGTCGAGCTGTACGGGTGCTTTTAAAAGTCGAGCGGGCCGGGTGCTGGTGGCGAACGCCTTTAATCCCAGCACTCGGGAGGCAGAGGCAGGCGGATCTCTGTGAGTTCGAGGCCAGCCTGGGCTACCAAGTGAGCTCCAGGAAAGG